ATTTGACCAGACACACACACACACACACACACACACACACACACACACAAAGTGAGACAGCAAGTCACCAGGTCTGGGACTTGAACTGTGTTCAACTATGTGGGAGTGTCTAGTGCCTTAACCACCACGCCACCTGCTGGTCGTCAAAATTAAGTAGTTCCTTAAAAAAAAGTTTGTCCTGTGGACCGAGTATACTGGGGAGTGCTGGGCCAACTACTAGAGGAAACTACTGAGAAGCAGAGATGGGTGTAGCTGCTTACAGCCAGACAGCACGAGCCCAGACCTTGCTGCTGAATGTCTCTGCTTGCAGGGTTGCCTCCAACTTGTGTTCCTGTCTACGCCTCAGCTTCCAGTCCTCGTCTGTCTCAGACCCGTATGCCCCATGTAATTTGTTTTTTTGGGGGGTGGGGGAGATTTTTGCTAAAGGGCACATTTGTTCACTGGAGAGAGAAAGTGAGAAATCACCTCCAGGGGGAATGGCCATGCCACAATCTCTTCTCCATTCTCTCGGGATTTTGGGTACACATGCACACGTGCCTGGAGTGAGTTGTAAGCCACCAGGTCTAGTACTCGAACTGTGGTCAGCCATGTGGCAGTCCAATGACGTAACCATTATGCCATCTGCTGGTTCTGCCCCATGTAATTTTTAGTAACATCAAGAAAAGCCAGAAGTTAAGCTCAGAGTCCTTGTAAGAGATTTTTCAGTGTGTTTACTCTGTGATACTTCTACTTCGACCTGTTTAGGTCAAGGTCCTTTCCTTACAATCCCCGGTTACCTGATACCTTTATGATCACAGAGCTATCTCTACCGCCCCATAGACTTCCTGACACTAAAGACTGCCTCTCAAGGAAGAGCAGCTGTGCAACTGATTAGTCCCACAGGGTAAATAAAAAAATCAGTTATGTGGTTTAGAATCTTCCTATACAGCTGTTAGTAAACGTATGGTAAGCACATACCTGTGAGGCAAAAAAACGTAGCTTATGGTACCAGCATTAAGGGTTAACATGGTATGCCGTAAGTTAGACTCAACGTGGCTTTCCATTCTGTTCTGTCGGGCCTGCAATGGCATTTTAAAACTCCTGTGCTTTCCGAATTTTGAGTAGGTATAATCTAGCCCTCTTTGCTCCTGTTTCATAGAACCCCTTAAAATGCAGGCCCAGCCACAGTGGTCTAAGCAGTAGGGCACCCCCTGTGTGGCAGGAGGCCATACGGGAAGTCCTGACATTCTGATACCCTCGGGGCATCCTGAACATGCTGCATGCCTCTGATCCTGCCTGGCTTGTGGCTGGTGGGGCAGGACCCAATCAGGGCACCTGTCTCTCCACCCTCTTTATGAAAGAAAGACAGACTTTTTCTTTTTCTTTCTTTTTTTTTTTTTTTTTTTTTGGCGGGGGGGGGGAGATTTCGCTATACGGTATGTGCATTCACTGGCGAGAGAGAGAAACAGAAAGCAAGAAATCACCCCCTGGGGGAATGGCCATGCCACAGTCGCTTCTCCTCCATTCTCCTCTCAGGATTTTGGGCATGCACGCACATACACCGGCGTGTTTCAAGCCTCTGGGTCCAGTACTCCAACCTTGGTCAACTACGTGGGAGTCCAGGAGCTTAACCATTACACCATCTGCTGGTCCCAAAGAAGACTTTTTTTTTCTTTCTTGTTTCTTAAAGAATTATTTTATTTAACTGTTACTTATTTATTTGTTTAAAATTTGACCAGAGAGGGACAGAGCAAGAAAGCAAGAGAGAGGGAAAATGAGAAAGCTAGCCACCAAGTCTGGGACTCAAACCACAGTCAGCCATATGGGAGTCCAGTGTCCTTAACCACCATGCCACCTGCTGGCCCCAGCAAGAGTTTTTGTGTTTTTTTTTTTTTTTTAAAGATTTTAAAATTCAGAATATGCTTTGAGAAAAAAAGATTCAAATGTCTTACGGGAGGAAGAGCCAGTAACATTTAAGATTCTTTTATTAAATTGTTAAACTTTCACATCATTCACATTCCTAAGGAACATTTGGTAAGTCCTTGGAGATAGGACTTTTTTTTAAGTGATTTATTTCATTTTATCCATTATTATTTTAATTCGATTAGAGAGGGAAAGTGAGGAAGCAAGCCACCAGGTCCAGGACTCTAACCATAGTCGGCCATGTGGGAGTCCAACACCTCAACCACCACACCAGCCCCAGATATAGGAATTTACCAAAGCTTCTACTCACGTTAGTAGGAAAGAAGTTTTATTTTTATTTAAGGTGTCTTTTATGGAAAGAGAGAAAGACAAACACCTTCATTAGGGTCTCCCAGCACTGTCCTGCCTCCACCTTCCAACCAGCCAGGATCACTGGTAGGCACACTTGTGCCCCTGCTGTGCAGGCCTGCCTGGGACTGAACCTGTGATCCTCCATGGGTGCCCAGCATGGCTGAGCGTATGTTACCTTTGGGCCACCAGCTGGCCAGGAAGGAGTTTTCCTCTGGAGACATTTTAGATGCAGGATCACACCTATGTTCAGATTGGGTTTTATTTAATCTCATATTAGAGAAAGTAATACTTATAATTTACCTCTATTTACATTCTATTTAGGATTTGACCCAGCAGATCAACCTGAGCCCCAAACAGCACCATAATGCTTTGGAATGCTTGCTACGGCGAATTTCAAAGAATGAGACAGCTAGCAATGAGCTGACACGCTGGGGGCTCTTTCTGCAAAAGGATGTGTACAAGGTAAACCAGGGTGTGCACTGCGGTAGGGAACGGCGGTATAGGGCAGTTCAGAGCTTTGTGAGGCTAGGTGGTAACTTCCTGTCCTGCCTTTATTTTGGAGTTTTGGCTTTATTCACATACGTGTGTGTGTATTTTTAAATCTCAGTCGTAGTACTTGAACTTTTTTTAGTTAATTTGCTATTATCTTTTCTTTAATGTTTTTATTATTTTATTTAGCTTTATTTAGTTAGTTTAATTTAACCAGAGAGAGAAAGAGAGAGATAGAGAGAGAGAGAGAGAGGAGGCAAGCCACCAGGTCTGGGACTTGAACCACGGTCAGACATGGGGGAGTCCAGCACCCTTAACCACCACGCCACCTGCTGGCCCCAGTAAGGACTTTCTAAGGAAGAGATTCAAGTATATTATACACAGTGACAGCATTGTTAGAACAATACCAAACCACATCAGATGACTAGAAAAGGACCATATTTAACAGGATCCCTTCTCCTTCATTCTCTTGGGATCTTGGGCACGCACACACACGTCTGGCATGAGTTTAAGCTACTGGGTCCGGGACTCGAACTGTGGTTGACTACATGGGAGTCCAGCGACATAGCCATTATGCAGCTGCCAGTTCCCCAAATGTTTAGTTTTTCATTGTGCGTACATGTGCATGCACTCACATGAGAGAGAAGCGAGAAGTACCTGCAATAGGCTCATCGCAGCATGAGCTCCTTTCCCCAGCCCTCCAGCCCCTCAGTATCTGCGGCACCCATGTGCACCACCAGCGTGTTTCAGACCCACCAAGGGATCAAACCCATGGTGGTCATGTGACTTCCAGCCTTCAGGGAGCATGTGTTACCACCGCACCAGAGCAGCTGGGCCTGTCCAAGTTTTATTGACATGGACTCTAACTGCTAGAAGTATCATTTTTCTGGGGGCCAACAGGTGGTGTGATGGTTAAGGTGCTGGATACTCTCACATGGTTGACCACGGTTTAAGTCTCGGACCTGGTGGCTTGCTTTCTCACTTTCCCTTTCTCTCTCTCTGTGTCTCTCTGGTCAAATTAAAAAAATAAATGAATGAATAAACAAAATTAAATAAATAATTCTTTAAAAAAAAAAGTATCATTTTTCTGCCATTCTCAAAAGTTATCACAGAGTGGGGAATCAGCAGGTGGCATGGTGGTTAAGTGTTGGACACTCCCATGTGGCCAGCCACAGTTTGAGTCCCAGACCTGGTAACTTGCTTTCTCACTTTCTCTCTCTCTCTCTCTCTGTGCCTCTCTTTGGTTAAATTAAAATAAGTGAGTGAGTAAATAAAGTTAAATAAATAATTTAAAAAAGGTTATCACAGGGTGAAAACCAGGTGGTATATTAAGGCACTGGGCTCCCGCATGGTTTACCGCAATTCAAGTCCCAGACCCAGTAGCTTCAAAATCATGCCACATATGTGCACGTACATGCCCAAAATCCCCAAAAGAAAACAGAAGACAAGGGATTGTGGCATGGCTTTCTCTCCTGGGGGATGATTTCTCACTTTCCCTCTCTCTGTCTCTCTCTGGCAAGCACATGCGCCCTATGGCAAGACCTAATTTAAAACCAAAAAGTTATCAGGGCTAAGTCTGCCTGGTGCAGCTGACCAGCCCTTGAGAAAATAGTAGCCATGCTTTTCTGAGCAGTGTTTGCAGGGCCAGCTCTGTGGTGCGACAGTCAGTGCACTGTCGGAGAGAAACTGGATCCCACACGGTGGCTGGTTCACACCCCTCGAACAGGCCGAGCATGGAGCGAGTGCTCGAGATCAGTGGGCTGGAGGGTTGCAGGAAGGAGACTGTGGCGTGACTAGGTCCTATGAAGGTAGTCGTCTTTCTCTCTCCTCACGTCATGAATAAAGAAAAAAATAAGTAATACTTTAGATTGTTTGTGTCATGGATGCTTTATTTTCTGCTTAGGTTCAAGGACGTCTTCTACCAATGGAAAGAATTAACTTACGAAATACTTCATTTATCACATCTCAAGAACTCAGCTGGGTTAAGGAAGTAACTAGAGATCTTTCCATCTTGACCGTAAGTGATTTTTTTTTTTTTTGTATATAGTCCTTATTTTGATTATAAGTGATTTTTGAAGTGTTAAAAAGAGGACTAGTGGACCAGTAGATGGCGTAATGGCTACGTCACTGGACTCCCATGTAGTCGACCACAGTTCAAGTCTTGGACCTGGTGACTTAAAACTCATGCTGGGCATGTGTGTATGCATGTCCATGATCCCGAGAGGAGAATGGAGAAGGGATTGTGGTGTGGCCATTCCCCCCTGGGAGGTGATTTCTTGCTTTCTGTTTCTCTGGTGAGTGCATTTTTGCCCTATAGCAAAAAATTTTTCTTAAAAAAAGAGAGCTGTTGTTCCTCAAACTGGAAGTTAGGAAGTAGGAACAATCTAGCATCCTTTTTTTTTGGGGGGGGGGCAGAAAATACCAACTGTACTCCCATTCTGAATTATCTGCAAAACAAGAATTCTTTTTTTTTGGGGGGGAGAGGTTTTTGCTATAGGGCATGTGCGCTCGCCAGACAGAGAGAGACAGAGAGACAGAAAGCAAGAAATCACCCCCCAGGGGGGATGGTCACGCCGCAATCTCTTCTCCTCCATTCTCCTCTCGGGATCTTGGGCACGCATGCACACGCGCCCGGCTTGAGTTCTAAGCCACCGGGTCCAGGACGTGAACCGCGGTTGACTACGTGGGAGTCCAGTGGCATAGCCATTACGCCAACTGCTGGTTCCCAAAACAAGAGTTCTTTAAGCAGAGCAGTTGAGGAGCTGCTAAAGGTAAGCTCTGTCTGGCCACAGACAAAGCTGCTATGATAATTAGCATAGGGCTAGTTTAGCACCCGTTTTTCTTTCTTCCATTCTCTTTCTGCCTTTTATGCTGGGAGTTTCTAGAGGGTGTTTTTATCAAAATCAAATAAAAATAGTACCCTACTAAAGCAGCTAATGTATTTTAACTATTTGCATCTAAGAACAAAATGTTCTATTACTATTTCCTAAATGTTTTTGCTCAATGTGGTTTCATAGCCATATATAAAATGCACACATCTGTTTTTAAAACTTCTTACTGAAACATATTTAAAGCAAAAGCACACTTACAAGTATATAGCTCGAATGATTTCCATGAATTAAAGCGAGCTGTGTACTCAGCATCGAGGGCTGACACGCGGAGCTCGGACTGTGCCCTAGCAGCTCTCCCCGCGTCCCCAGTTACAGCCTGCCCACCTCCACACACCGAGGAGAGCCGCCGCCCGGACTTCCAGCAGCACAGACTCCCTTGAGATATTTTTGTACTTTATATCCATGATGTGAGGGGATTTCAAACATGTCATGGTAAAATGCAGTTAAAGAAAGACTGGCTCTATTACTGCTTAAGAGAGCCAGATCCCACCGAGCTAACCGTGCAGTTTAGATCCTGGCCCTGGTGGCTTGAAAAACACATCAGGCATGGCTAGCAGGTGGCATGTTGGTTAAGGCCCTAGATCACACATGACTGGCTTCACTGTTCGAGTCCTGGACCTGGCATCTTGAAAATCACTCTGGGTGCATGTCCATTGCGTACCAAAGTCCTGAGAGGAAAATGGAGGAGAAGGGATTGTGGCGTGGCTATCCTCTCTGGGGGATTATTTCCCACTCTCCCTGTCTCTCTCCAGTGAGTATACATGCCCTTTAGCAAAACTCTGGAGAGAAAGAAAAGAAAAATACATCTCGGGTGCATGTATGCCCCCCATCCCTATAGGATTGAGAAATGGAGGATAGGGGATTGTGGCACCCCAGTGGGGAGTGTTTCCTCTCTCCCTGTCTCTCTCTGACAAGGGCATGCAATCTCTGACATGTTAAAAAAAGGGGGGGGAATGAAGTTAAAGCACTGATTTATTTTGGTGCCGTAGAGCGTGTGTGCTTGCGAGAGACAGAGAGTGAGGAATGTGAGACATCGCTTTCCAGGGGGAATGGCCACATCACAATCCCTTCTCCACCTTCCTCCCAGGATTTTGGGCATGCACGCACATGTGCCCCATGTGATTTTCAAGCTGCTGGGTTTGAGACTCAGACTGGCTGGCTCTGTTGGATTGTAACACCTTAATCGTCACGCTACCTGCCAGCTCGACATTTTTAATCCGTGCATAGCATAGCCTTTTATATGTGCTATTTCCCTGAACCTTTCGATGACTTCTCCCCGTACTAGAATCACGAAGTATAATTCTTTGCTGTCTTTTTCCTTCTTTCCAACCTTGTATCAGTAAGTTTTATCGACATTATTGGCTGTGGTTGTAGACCATCCATTGTCATCAGTACATGGTAATCTGTTGTAAGAATATGCCACCACTTACTTACCACATGCATCCATGTTAATAATAGGAATTAGGCAAGACAGGACTTAAGCAGAGAGAATGAAATGTAATTTATTCTCTAGAATAAAATCTACTTCAAGTTTGGGGTGTTTAAGTTGCCGGGCATGCTCAAAGCAGCTTGCGGTTGTTCCTAGATCCCGATGCATTTCTGGGCACTCTTTTACCCAAAGAGAGCAACGGATCAGGCCCGAGAGTTGGTCAACATGCTGGAGAAGATAGCCGGCCCCATCGGCATGCGCATGAGCCCCCCAGCCTGGGTCGAGCTGAAGGACGACCGGATAGAGACCTACATCAGGACCATTCAGTCCATGCTGGGAGTCGAGGTAGTAGATTAGTGTATTCCGAGTAAATGGACAGGATCTCCCTTGTCAGTACTTGATTTTACATGATACGGGTTATTGGGCTGTTGGTCTCCAGGAGCCCAGGTCTCACTCATGTGCACGTGGGATGCTAAACTGAGGAAAAGTCTTACTCTTTTTTTTTTAAAAGAATCATCTTTATTTAACTTTATTTATTTATTTTAATTTGACCAGAGAGGGACAGTGAGTAAGTGAGAGAGTGAGAGAGAAAGTGAGAAAGGAAGCCGCCAGGTCTGGGACTTGAACAGTGTTTGGCCATTTGGGAGTCCAGCACCCTTAACCACCATGCCACCTGGCAGCCCCAAGAATGTGTTCTTTATACCCTTTGGCTGATTTTGCTGCTTTCATTCCACGTTGGCTCTCACATTCCAGCGTGCTCTTTTTCTCACGTAACTGGCTGAAAGAGTAGCTGACTTCACTTTCATTCATTATCTCCAGAACACACTGTGCTCAGAGAGCACCTACCTGGGCCTGGTGCCATCTTGCACAATTCAGTACTGAGCCGACAGTCTGGTCTAGTTCAGACTCGGATTGCTCTGGTGATGAACTTGGCGGGCTGCCCATCACTGAAACTGATCAGAATCACTGGAGCTGGCTGGTCACCATGCTCACTGCTCAGTTGTCAGGCCTTTCAGTTCATCTCTGTTTAGCAAATAAAATAGAGGCAGAAATTTAGGGAGAGAACAAAGGCAGAGGATTTATAAAAAAGATTTTTATATGTGCTTAGCCCTTGATTAAAGACTGGTGAATTGAATTATTCTGGTGAGATCGGCCCTAGAATTTGGTTATCTTGGCATAATAGCGTTCCCCTCTTGATCTACCACTTAACTCCGGGCATGTCATTCATAGGAGCACACTCACGGTGTCTCTCTCATTTCCTCCTGACTCCCATGCCTACCACACTCTACCTGGTTCCTTTTGGGCCTGACCATTGGTAATTTCTGCTCTGCTTTCAAAAGCATAACCCAGTCTTGGGAATCAGCAGTTAGCGTAATGGCTATGTTGCTGGACTCCCACATAGTCAACCGCGGTTCGTGTCCCGGACCCAGTGGCTTAAAACTCACACCAGGTACGTGTGTGTGTGTGCCCAAGATCCCGAGAGGAGATTGGAGGAGAAAAGATTGCGGCGTGACCATCCCCCCTGGAGGTGATTTCTCGTTTTCTGTCTCTCTGTCTCTGTCTGTCTGGCGAGCACACGTGCCCTATAGCGAAAACCTCTCCAAAAAAAAAAAAAAAAAAGCATAA